ACACACATATATACATATATATATATATATATATATATATATATATATATAGTATGTAAAAACCATTAATGATGAGAACTCGGTCGTGTTCACTTACACATGCCGCGTGCGGAGACCTATCGATCAGCTCGTGCAGCGTGAAGCTCGCGCTGGTCTAGCGCAATGGCACTTTCAAACACTTCCGCAGCGCGAGCGCTACAATGAGGAAGTGACGATCTTTCGGTCAACGCAACACTGTAGCCACTTTCAGATAAACTGAATCTGCGAGGGATTTTGTAGTATTGCATTTAACTGAAACAAAAATATGTGTAATAACATTTGTATTTCTACGCACATGTTGATCTGAATCTATAACTTTTATTTTCTTGGATATTTGCGTTTTGTTGTATCGTTACAAATGCAATATTGGAATGCAATAAAAAAAAAACTTTTTTTGCAAAACTTAAGGCAGTGCAAAAATATATACGTTCAATTTGCAACAAATGGGCGCATAAAATGGAACAATATAAATGTAGCATTAACAAAGGCAAGAAATAAAATCACAACCAGAAAATGAATAAAATGTAAATAGATAATAAATGATACAATAATACAATAAAAACGTTTTAATAAAAGACGAAACACCGATTCAGCCGAGAATGTGAACATGGCGGCGCCTAGAGAGATAGCTCACATGCGTCTTTAAAAGCAAGTCTGGATCATCATGCTGAACTTGTAAACTCATCTGCTCTTTTGTAAAGTTTTGTGAGTGCGCAACTGCGCATGTGCCATTTTCTCCCCTGTTTTGAAGAAGAGATGTTTGGTTTATTGTGTTGACTGTAACTGATCTTACACTCTTTCTTGCTCCAGAACGGAGTTTTTTTTCCCTTTTACTCTTGTTTTACAATTTCAAGTTATAATATTGCTCATTGCAGCTGACATATGTGCTTGGCAAACCTGTGTTTGATGCAAGAAGAGTCAAACTAACCCCTTTAAATGGCCAGGATTTGCTGTGGGCCCCTGCACACATTTGCACTACTGACTTCTGTAGGCCTACTTCTTATCCTGGTGCACAAGGACAAGAAGGTTTCATTTGCCTTTTCACCATCAACAGAATGGTGGCATAGTTCAAACATTTCATACAGGAGCGTTCCGTTCCAGAAGAACTTGTGCAATAATTAGGGTGACCATACGTGTCCATTTTCCCCAGACGCGTCCTGGCCAGGATTTCTATATTGCCTAAAATATCTAGGGTTTGGCTTTGTTTGCGTGTGCAGACCGATCGGTGTATGACATCGGTTCCTTGTGTTTTCGAAACGCTGTCGAGGTACTTTGAATCAAAGCAATTTAGAAATCCTGGCCAGGACGCGTCCGGGGAAAATGGCACGTATGGTCACCCTAGCAATAATGTTAATTCATCTGCTGATCAGTGTAGTATAGCTGTGGAGAGCCGCATCGACTGTGGCCATGATAGATAGATCTTTGAGTCGGGCTGATTGTGAGGGCAGAGGATGCTGCTATATGCCCCTGCCCCAGTCTGGATTAAGAGGAACACCATGGTGTTTCTACCCTGTCTCTTACCCAGGCTACAAAATGGGGCCCCTGTTGCCCACAGAGAAGGGCCAAAGAGCCACCCTGACCCGTTCTGCACCCTCACACCTGCCCCGGGACATCCCCACACTGCAGCTAGATGTGATGGACGAGACTGTGGGTCATCTTCACCTCACTGTGAGCAATTCATTTAGTCATTTCAATTACAAATCATTCAGATATTGTCATTTGTGGAGGAATTGAATACAGTTACATGATCTGTCCTTGAATTCTGGGAAATATAAACGCTTGAATCAGTTGTGTCTGAAATTTGCATTGGAAATGATTAATTTTAGTATTATCTTTAGTATTATCTTTATTTAAGGTTGGAATACACTACACAATGTTTAACCAGATTGCACTTCATTTTTTCTTTCACTAGTTGTTTATATATATATATATATATATATATATGTGTGTGTGTGTGTGTGTGTGTGTATATATCAGGTGGTTTGAAAAAATGCCTGTGTTCGAACAATTTAAAACTAACATTAAAATGTATTTGGAAACAATAACTAAAAGTAAAAACTTGCAAGCAATAGGAACTATGCAATTGTTTAAGATGTATATATACATCTTAAACAATTGCATAGTTCCTATTGCTTGCAAGTTTTTACTTTTAGTTATTGTTTCCAAATACATTTTAATGTTAGTTTTAAATTGTTCGAACACAGGCATTTTTTCAAACCACCTGAATTTATTAACTTATTTATGAGCAAATATATAAATAAATAAATAATTATATATAAAATAAAATAAATACTAGATTTTAATCACCATCTGATGAGAAATGCCTTAACATAACATCAGCTTCTACAAAATTAGCAACAGTCTTAGCTTCTTTTTGGAAATAAATTCTTAATGATTATAGATGACCCAATCTTACTATTTTACTAATTTCACTTAAACACAGTTCAAGGATCCAGCATCTCCACGATATGAGGTCCCTTTCATGACGTCCCAATCCAGGGGCTACAAGGACATTAAAAAAACACTCTATGATGTTGAATTCCAACCAGATCCATTTGGATTTATTGTACGGCGAAAATCCAATGGCCGTGTTCTGTTAGTGTAGATAATTTTTCTTTCCTTGCTTTGTATGTGTAAGTTTTCTGCTTATAATGTTTGTTGTGTTTCTGGCGGGTCAATGACAGCCCACACAAAACCATATGGTAAAAAGTTGTGTAATTTGGCACAACCAAATTTTGTTTTCATAATGTTGAACAAATGCATTGTATTTTTCTTTTTCTAGTCTGAATACTACAATAGGCCCCCTCCTTGTTTGCAGACCAGCATCTACAGCTCTCCACCAGCATGGCTTCCTCTGTGATATCTGGCCTGGGTGAACATTACACCCCCATCACGCTGGACCTCAACTGGAGCTCTAAGACATGGCACCACATGTGAGACCTTCACATCATTTCACATGCTTCTTTAACTTCCTTTTTATTCACAGCTGTATTTAATGTTTTATATTGGCCTTTGTAGAGAAGTGCCAACCTGTATGGCTCCCACCCTTTCTTCCTGGTCCAAGAAGGTGTTTATAATGACATGGGTACTACAACGAAAACATGGTTTATGAGGACACTTCCTGTGTCCCTGTCCAAAAGGCTTTAAAAACATACAAAACGGTATTCAAAAATTGCCAGTAGTTTTCTGTAAGGGGGTAGGTTTAGGTGTAGGGTTGGTGTAGGGCGATAGAAAATACAGTTTGTACAGTATAAAAACCATTACGCCTATGGAGAGTCCCCGTAAACCACAAATGTGTGTGTGTGTGTATGAGTGTGTGTGTGTGTGAGTGTGTGTGTGTGTGAGTGTGTGTGTGTGTGAGTGTGTGTGTGTGTGTGTGTGTGAGTGTGTGTGTGTGTGTGTTTTCCCTAAAATTTGCATGCCTTTAAAGGGATAGTTCACCTTCAGTTGCTAGTCCACACTGACTTCCATAGTATGGAAAAAAAAAACTCTATGCAAGTCAGTGGGGACCAGCAACTGAAGGTGAACTATCCCTTTAACTCAAGAACTATTAAATATATCTTAATATCTTTTTCGATGTTGGTTTTCATGTCTTTTGGAAACGTAAATTTTAAGGTCCTATATGGTTCAATTCCAATCTCAACGTGGCTCCAGGAGTAAATTGTACACATTTTCAGTGGTCAAAAACCAAATGTGGGTCATTTTGCATATAGCTGATACTTTTCGCTTTTAAAAAGGAATGTCTAAAGAACATATAATGTTGAAACAACTAATGTTTCACCAAAAATAAAGATCTAGTCAAATTACCGCTCAGCTTAACCCTGCGCACATTTTTATATTTAGTTATGTTGTAAAAGTTTCAGTTTAATTAATTCCGTCAATCTTTTTACCCCATTTTAACATGGATTTCTATGGAGACCGGAACACGAGAGAGCATCCAAACGGAAGTTAGAATCCGTCATGGCGGCGCTCATCGGTTACTCAGGAAAAAGGTGGATATAGAGAAATTCTAGTGTTCACAATGCAACTTGGCCACCCAGATATGGAACTTGAACTTATTCCTAATGCTTGCAAAGCATGTTTCGTCGCTGTTCTTAGTTTTTTGCTATGTTTCTGTGTCTGTACCAGGTGTGCTCCTGTTTGGACTCTATGGTGTCCCGTTAGTGGGAGCTGATGTCTGTGGGTTTGGTGGAGACACAAGTGAAGAGCTGTGTGTGCGCTGGACACAACTTGGAGCCTTTTACCCCTTTATGAGAAACCATAATGACAGACCCAATGCGGTGAGATATCAATCAACAATTTAAAGCCAGCTAGAGAAATAAATACATATGTATTTAAATTGATAAATAGATATATAGATATCTAGATATGGGTCAAAGGCCAGACATCTATACAAATAGGTAGTTTATTGAGGCAAAGGTCATAGTTAATAATTGGTTAATAGTGAGAATTGGTCCACAAGCTAAAGTGTGACCAAAATTATATTACATTTATTAGTAGCATATGAATAGTTCTTCCCATATTCCATACTCCCAGCCCCAAGAACCGTATGTATTTAGCCAACAAGCCCAAGGTGCCATGAGGACTGCGATAACACTGCGATACTCTCTCCTGCCCTTCCTCTACACACTGTTCCATCACGCGCACACCTCCGGCAGCACTGTGGCCCGTCCTCTCTTCCTTGAGTACACACGCTTGTTTCAGCTCAATATCTCTTTATCTGAGCTCAGCGATGACCTCTTTACTGAGACTGCTCATTCTTTCAGGTTTCCCACTGATCCAAATTGCCAGAGCATTGACAGGCAGCTCCTGTGGGGGAGTTCACTGCTTATCAGTCTCGTTCTGGAAGAACCCCCGGGGACTTGCTACAGTCTGCACAATGTAATCCTTCCTCTTTTACTTTGCTGTACATATTAAATTATCACATTAGGTTTTATCATAATTGTTTTATTAATGTATTCCCTAAATTCAACTTAAAGTAACACTTTACATATAGGGTCTCATTACTTAATGTTATGCATTAATTAAGATTAACTAACAATGAGCAATGCATTTGTTACAGTATTTATTAATGTTTTTTAACGTTAGTTAATAGCAATACAAATGTTCATTGTTAGTTCATGTTAGCTCAGATCTATTAAATAATTTTAAAGGGGTCATATGATGCTTTTTTAAAG